GAACAATTCTTCACTCTTCTTCAGAAGGCCATAAGGAGAGCAGCCAACCTCCCTTCGGAGAACAAATTATATCAAAAGATATATTACCTTTACCAATTACCTTTGTTTTATTATCTTCAAGGAGATTAGAAACATATTTCTCAAGTCCATATAAGGCAAAAATGTGGTCCTTTATTTGCTTCACTTCCTAATTGAATTTCATATTTAGACCCTCCTTGTATTTTTAATCAAACGCCCCTTGCTTGCCTACATCTCAAATTTCTTATTCATTGACCATGTTTGACTTGTACTTTTAGACAGATATTAGGCTGTTCACTAATATCTCATCCCAGTATTAGCATTAGCAAAGACTATAGTGAGGTTATTGTTAATACTGTATATTCCAATTGCGTTCAGTTTTTATCAAGCACTTGCTTTAAATTTGGACTTGAAAAAAATCCAATTTAAAAATTTAACAATCCATTAACCAATATTTGATCTTTATATCTCCCTGCCTGCAGAAAGGTCTCCAAAGCAGGTTTTTGCAACTCTTGGCTTGGGCATCCCTGTGTTCCTGTTTAGTGGTCACAGTTAGGACTGACAATTAAGCTGTTAAAATGACAAACTATTTCTAAAAGTTTTCTTATTTGTTTATTTTATTTATTCAATTTATATGGTGGCTTATCTCAAACAAGACTTCCTGGTGGGAGGGGGAGAGGGGGAGAGAGACAGAGAAAGTGTACAATATTTCATTTATTTTATTCAGGATCTGCATAAACTTGAGCTGAAGGTTCTAGAAAAGCAGGCAAAGGAAGATGAAAAGATTGAAAAAGAAAAAAGATTGTCTAAGCTGAAAAAGAAGGTAAGAATTTAATATGTTATATACCTCAGTCCCATGTACATTTCTCAGAAGTACCTCTGACTTAAAAGAACTTTGGCATTTAAAAATTATCACATATGATGGTTTATTGAAATGTCATTATATAACATCTTGAAACTGGAATTTAGTCGCCCATACAGAAGCAAGGGGAAAAGTTGTAAATAGGTTAGGATGAAAGAAAGTAGAAAAGAAATTGAGTTGAGAGTAACTCAGATAGGTGTGCAAACTGCATAAGGTCATTTTAAAAATAAAACGGGTTCTTATCTAATTGCCTTCTCTAGAAATTAAATTTAAATTAAAACTGTAGAGATAATGAATCAACAGTACTTCCTAATGGATTTATTTGGTGTTTCTTCTAAGTGTTTTAGGATTGTTGACTCAGACTTTAGTTTAATGCCTTGTATCTACCGTATTTTTTGCACTTTAAGACCCACCCCCCCACCCCCAAAAAACAGGTGGAAATGTGTGTGCGTCTTACAGAGTAGATGTTGCTGAAGTCCCGCCCGCCTGCGGGTCCCCACTCTTCGATCTCTGCCTCCCAGAAATTTGCCTCCTTGAGCAAACAGCCTGGTCAGTTTCAGCACAGCCTGATTTAGTATGAGCAGCTGATAGGCGGTGGGATTGGCCTCCTGGAATACTGCGGATCAGCTGTTCCAGACTGCGGGGATCGCTGCTGCCCATCGCCATCTCTGCCTCCGCGTGTCCCATTTTCGGCCACTGTGCACCCCATTTTCAATCCCCGCCACTTGAAATGGGCTGAAAATGGGATGTACGTAGAGGCGGCAATAGGTGGAGGTGATGGGCATTGATGACAGTGTTGGGCAGCAGAGATCCCCACAGCCTGAAACAGCTGATAGGTGGTATTCTGGGAGGCAGATCCAACTGCCAATCAGTTGCTCATGCTAAATCAGGCTGTGCTGAAGTTGACCATGCTGTTTGCTGCAAAAAGGCAAATTGCTGAGAGGCAGAGGCAGATTTTTTTTCTTGTTTTCCTCCCCAAAAGCTAGGTGTGTCATATAGTTTGGGGTGTATTATAGTGCAAAAAATATGGTAATTAGTAAGCCCCATAGAATTCAGTAAAGCTACTTTGTGCAAAATTGTTTTCAATCGAACTTTAAATATTAAACAATATGTGAATATATATTATTTTTATTAAATTTTATGTCAGGACTCCAACAAACCCACCCCCGTTCAAATCATAAGTCCCTAACCGCATCTCAGAGGAAAGAAAATTGATTTATTAGAAGTGGCCATGTTGGTGTTGACTGGATGCAGCCAATACTAAATTATATCATTTATTTTCCCCTTGACCCTGGTCTTCCCCCCACCCCCTGGATGTGTATTCTTCAGTGGGACACATCCATCCCCAAGAGTCATCAATCATGCTCTCCAGTAAAATTCTTGTGCTCCGACAACTTTGGGCTGCCAGGGTAATTATCTAGGCATTTAAGGAATGCACTGTTTTTCCCCACTCCCTTTTTTGGCAGCTGAAAAGACCAAAGGAGTATCTTTTAGTTGACATTTTAATTATTAGTAATAGTAATGGAAACATAGCATCTAATCATGATCCATAGGCTGATAATTCTAAAATGTTGGAGTAATAATCTTGGTGGACTGAAATTTAATTTTTGTATTTCTAGAGGTCTTGGTTCTATCAGGTTTGGTACCACTCTGTAATTACTTTCTGGTCCCATTTGACTTCTTTTCTGTTAGTAGTCATCATTCTTGATTTGTATCTTTGTTCTAAGTATTCAACAAGAATCAGATGCATAATAAATTGCTGGGTCTGTAATCCAAACTAATAGTATTTTGGGGTCTGCAATAATGAAAATACAGTGCTGTGCAAGTTTACTTCTTACTCTTTATTGTTTAATTCATTTGTATTTGCAGTTGCCTTCAATTATTTTTTCTGTGTTTTCACTATTAACAGGTTCACATTAATGTAACTCGGGATCCATGCAGGTTATTCAGACCTACAAAAGTTTGGGAAGAACGAACAAAAGAAATTGGACCTGTAGGTACAGGGCCAGTGTTGTATATTCCTCATAGGTGAGAAAATTGAAATATTTTATATGATTAATGTACATCTTAAATTACCTTATGTTTAAATATTTATATTATTAATGTAGTTTTATATGATTAATGTATTTGCAAGATACTAATCTATTTTTACATTGATAGGGCTGTCCCAAGCTGGCGACAGGGATTATAATTGGATATCTGCAAATAATTTGTTTGAAGATAATATAACAACATAATGTATTGTTATATTAGTTTGTATTATATATGAAAAATGTTGTATAAATGTTATGTTAAATAAAAATCAAGTATATATTGTTTCATTGTGTAAAGTACTTGCAAAAGCTTTTTTTTTGTTTGAATTGTTTTCTCTAAAACCTGGATTTAGCAAATTACCTCTTTCTGTAAAGCTCAGAAAAAAGTAAATGTATTGCTCTCTACATACTTTCACTGTTACTTTCAACCCAGAAATAAACAGAAAATTTACACATGTTTTTTCTTTGCTTTATTTAGTAGATTGATTACATAATGTATCTCAGATTAATTTAAGAAGGAAAGCAGATATTTTCAATGTTCCTAAATGGATAGAAAATAATAAGCTTGTGTTATAGAGAAATGAGTTGTTTCTTAATCGCCATCCTTCAAAACTAATAATTTTTACAAACAAATAAATAACAGTTTTAAAAACCCCAGAGAGAGACACAGTATTTTCTTTCTGCAGTATCTTCCAGACAATTGAAAATGGCTCAAAGTAAGCTTTTCTATGATTGTTGTGCATCTTAAAATTTATTTTAAATGTTTTACAAAAAACATAAAAACTAAAAAGAAAAAGCAGAAAAAAAGAGAGAAAAGGAAAAAAGTAAAATGTGCCAAAAGGGAAAGAAATAAAAACTTGATTTCTTTTGCAGCAAATATACTGTCAATACAATTACAAAATTATCTCTTATGATGAAAAAAGAAAGCTCACTCTATTATCCAATTGTTTTTCTAATTATCAAAACCATACATTGTAAGTGCATTGTTTTCATTATGTACAATATATATATTGTTGTACATAATGAAAACAATGCATTTACATAATGAAAACAATGTATATATATTGTAATCTTGCCCTAGTTATCATATATGAAAATAAAGTTCCATAACTTTTTTGTTTTGTTTATCCCTAAACTCCAAAAGAAAGGGTGCGTTTGGGATCTTGCACATCCCTCTTAAATGCAATGCTGATGCTGTAAAGAATGAGTATTGTGTCATGGAAACTTCCTGTAAAAAATTCTCCAGGCAGAAAATTTTGTGACATAATTCCTTGTTTGCTGTCACTGTAATGCTACTGAACAAAATGTTGATGTTAATTGTACAAGCTCAGATATATTTTAGGATTTGATGGTAATTTTGGAAGTTCCCCTGTAAAAATCTAGAGGACCTGTATAAAATATAGTACAGATCCATGTTTTCCCGTTCAATACCTCAATTTTAATAACCCATGTCAGCCTTTGTAGTATATGGTGTTTGAATTATTTTATCAGTGTTTTATCAATGAGAAATACATAATTTCAGAAGCCTCTTGGGACAGAAATTATATTCTGCACATAGAAGCTTCTAAAGTTTTTAAATCTTATTTTTTCTGGATCAAGCCATGTAAACAGATACTGTAATTTTGCAACAGTGTGTGAGGGATCCTTGGTGCTCTCTGAGGTTGCTCTGCAGCCGTTTCATTACCCTAACTAGGTAACATCATGAGTGCTCTGAGGACATCCTGATTTCCACCCTGAGCTACAAATATTCTCCTTTATTGGCAACAGGTGTATGTCTGACCCATGAATGTGTGTATATACCAGATATACTATCAGGAAAAAGTTGCCCATTGCTACCCAGTGCCGGGTGACTGCCAGCACGAACGATCGGAGCATTTTTAAAACTGCTTTTCGCTTGGCGCCATAGCCCCTTAATCCCACCCCTTCAGGCGCAAGAGGCGGAACGAAACCCTGTCAGCTGCCGGTTGTTGCTGTCGCGGCCGCTAAACAGAAAAGGGGAGGAAAAAAGGCCCGGCGTTGGGGCTGTGTCACATGACCGTGCCGCCGGTGACGGAGCTGCGTGTGAGAGTGGGAAGCGGAAGACCAACATGGCGAGCACGGCGCTGGTGGAAGATGAGGGAGGCTTTGGGGACGGGGAAAGGTTGGATTTCCTCAAGGAACGCCACGTTCGCTTCTTTCAACGCAGCCTTCAGATTTTGCCCGAACGCTATTCGTCCCTGGAGACCAGCAGGTACCCTCAGGAAAGCGGCGAAAGACGTTCGGGGCGCTTCGGGTGGGGAAGTAAGCGAGGAGTTGGCACCCCAGAAGCAGCCCCTGCGCGCCAAGTGCTTCGGACAGCTGAGCGGTGGGCGGGTTCCCCTCCGAAGCGGGAATAACCCGCCAGGATTTGTTCTCTGCTGGCCACTCGGGTATCGAGGCGGAGGGCCGGAGTGGCGCTCTGGGAGGCTTCCTTGGAGTCAATATTTGTGGAATGGCGTTAGTCTTAACTTAATTCCTGTTTAAACTTGACGGGGCGCCAAAAGTCCTGCATCCTAACTAATCCTTGACGATTGTCCGTGGAGGCTTGAAATTGAAAGCAGATGTCTGCTGAGCGATATCCCCGTTTATTCACACACTTCGAAAGTTAGTTTTAATGTTGGGGTGTGCTGATCTAACAGTGACAATCTCATTGGTACCAAAACAAAATTAGATCTAGTTTCCCCCGTAGGTTTTATATCAAGTTTAGGAGAACAGATCAAGCATAAGATCTTGTTTTCAATTATTACAGACTCATCTTAAGTAACAGTTAAGATACTTTCTGTTTCATTTCATTAACCTTTTGCACCTTACCCCTGATCAGAATCCAGATGTTTTGTTATATCGTTTTCAAAACTTTTGAATGCTTGCTTCTCTGTTTGAGATGGATAGAGGTTTGAAAGCAGACAGTAATGCTTACTTGGTTTAGTTGGTATGGAACCTGCTTTGCATTCAGAAAGGCCTCACTTCCTGAGTGTAAGATTCTCAAAAGAATTTGACACATAATATGTTTGAAAGTGAATTAAAAAGAGAAAGCATAAAAGGTAAATAAGTCTACAGAATGTGAAATGGAAAATACAGAAAATATTCTTTGTGGATTTATTTTGTTCTTGGAGCAATCTGTGTTGGGTAAACTGCTTTAAACCTTACAGGTTTAAAAAATATCCATTGAATTCAATCTGAGTGGACACCTATAAGATTGCCCTCAAGATGAGTGGCAAATTCATATTTCTAGGCTTGGAGTTGAGATCAAGAATTCGAGTATTATGTGGACTTAATGCCCAAGCCCCTTAGAAAGAGATGTGGGGCTTCTAAAAAAGCAGTTGGACAATATGTCCTTTTTCATGAAAATTTTTTGATCAATAGTTTCCTCATTTTGAAATTAATGTTCTCAATTCAGTATTTTGAAATAAAAGATTTATTTAAACTGTAGAAAATATGCCTACATTTGGAGAGAAAGAGCTAAGGATCTTCACTAATTTAAAAGTCTGTCCATTAGATGCAAGCGATTTAACTGTAGCCCTTTGTACATTATTCTACTATTAAGCTTGGTGTTGCAGTTTCGGTAAACACATCAAAGGTAAAGGAGTTTTTATTTTCTGTGCTTCCCGCATTGGATGGGAATCTTAATTCTGTCCTTGGGACTTGTACTGCATTGTTTACTCTGAATGTAGTCTCTGATCTAGGGTACTTATTTAGAACGCATTCTATTAAAGGTGAGTATGCAAGGAATACAATTAGAGAGGCTAAATGGTAAAATTTGAACACATATTGCAATTAAAAGTGGGTGTAGCAGGTATGAATATGCTTAGTAATGTTTTGTTTATTGCATTGTGAAACCTTGGTAGATGTTAAGCTGTATCTTTCTGTCAAAAACATTCACTGAGAGATTCTAAGATTAAATGTTCCATGCTCCAAAGTGAATAAGAAGCATGTTACTGCAATGTACATTCACTGCATCTCAGATTTTTCAGAAAAATTGTGATGTAAGAATTCAGTAGCTGAATTCAGTACATTTTTTCCTAGAACAAGTACTTAGTTATCATTTTGTAGCTAAAGTTGATGCTGTGTTTACCCAATATTTAAATGAAATGTAGGTAGCTGTAACTTATGTTATTTCTGGGCTTGGGTTTTGAGCCATGAATAGCTTATGATTAACATCCTATAGCTTTCCTGCATAAACTTGAACATAACTAGTAAGACTCCCCTAAATCATCAAACTGAACACCCCAAGCTTCTTAAGCCTGTTCTTTTAGGGTACACTTTCTTGTAATTGTGGCTGTCACAGCATCCCCATGTAATTTTGTTTAGGATGCTGATTTCAGCAATCAGTGGGGAAGCCAGCAGGAGATTGCAAAAGACAATCATGTGACAATTAGTCTAAATGTTAAAATTTGAACACACATTGCAATTAAAAATGGGTGTAGCAGGTATGAATGTGCTTGGTGGTGTTTTGTTTATTGCATTGTGAAACCTTGGTAGATGTTAAGATGTATCCTTCTGTCAAAAGCATTCACTGAGAGATTCTAAGATAAAATATTGCATGCTCCAAAATGAATAAGAAGCATGTTGTTGCAAATGTGCATTTACTGCATCTCAGATTTTGCAGAAAAATTATGGTGTAAGAATTTAGTAGCATTCTACAGTTCTTCCTAGAATTGGAAAGGGCAGATGTAAGCGAGAACTACCAGTATTTGATTTAAGGAGTTTCTGACAGGTGTAATGTGTACCGACAGGTGCTTTGTATACTCTTGTGTATACTCTGAAGCAGTTTTCCTTCTAATCTGAAATCCTATTTCATCCTAAATTTGGACAACCAAATAAGGGATGAAATGCATAAGTTTATTTTGCAAATAATATAAATATGCATTTATTTCTTAAAATTATTTTCAGTTTTTATTTAAACAAAATTCTAATTTGGTCAAAAGTCTTAACATTTGCTCCACAGAAGTTTTTTTTGTACAGACTGACTGATTTCCAGCACCATATTAAGCTTTTTTGGCTTCTATATCAATGTGGAAAATTTTCTTTCGTTCCATTATGCAAATGCTAAAGTATTTATAGTGTGACTTATGATTTAATACAATGTTACACAATCAATTTTGCTATTTACTTTTATGTCCTAAGTGTATATAACGTGTATTCTTATAGATTTCTTAAGTTTCAATATATAAGACCTTGACTTGGAAAAATATTGCTCAATAATTTATTCCATCACCAGTCAGATATATAGAAAGCTTTTCTATAACATGTTTTGGTTATTGCTCCTCTTGCTCATTCTCTGAAATGTTCACCCACTTTTCCTGAACTATTTATTTTATGTGCAAATTTAGTAGACCTTTGAACAGTCACTGATATTTTTTAACATAGTGGTGGAGTCTTCAATAAAAACAATGATTGTAGCAATCAACTGTCAATTTATTTGATCAATCCTAGTCTGTGGGGCATAGAAGTCTCTAGAACTTCTGAATGTAAAGACCCGTGTATCTGCCTCCCTCTTGGTAGCTTATAATTATAAAATAAATAACCTGTTTTAAAGAAAAATAATGGGAAACAATATCATGTTTCTGGTATTAACTCAAATACAACATAGAAGTTTGTGATTTGCATAACAGTAAGAAAAGAATAAGAAGTGTACACAGTTGTAGAGAAGAAAGGGCCACATTTATAAAAAAAATTGCTTACGATAAAGGAATAATTAGTACACACATCGGATGTTCATCAGCTAGTGAAGTGGCACAGTGCAGCTTGTGAGAGCAGCAACACTTGGAGGTGCTCAGCAGTGTGTTTTTAGGTGTGTTTATTAACTTCTTTAAAAATGTCAGTAGGCTGCACAAGGTTGCTTGAATGGGGTATGTTATGGGGCCTGAGGAAGTGGATAAGCTGAATTTGATTTAATGTTAAGGGAAGGAGAAAAATCAGTGAAATGAAAATATCAGAAATGTAGGGAAAAATAGACCATGTAATGCTGGAGTCAGGGTGAGAAATGAGGGTAATGAATCTACTCATTCATAGTAGAATGATATATTTGATGGTTGAATAACTACTTGCTGGGGGTACTGTATCATTCAGTTTATTTTGATGTTATAACACTCAAGTTGTTTCAGTTAATTCAGTTTATTTTGATGTTATAACACTCAAGTTGTTACATGCAAATAACTATCACCTGAGTTGGAATTTATGATAAATAGTAAATTGCTATTTTTGTCACACACACACCCTTTTTTTCCCCCCAGGTTGACAGTTGCTTTTTTTGCACTTTCTGGTTTGGATATGTTAGATTCCTTAGATGTTGTGAACAAAGAGGATATAATAGAATGGATTTATTCTTTGCAAGTCCTTCCCACAGAAGACAGTGAGTGAGTTTTTAGCTTTTCTTTTATTAACATTTTATTACATATCTGTAGTGTCTACCTTTTAAAAACAGAAACCATTCTCTTGTTCATCTGAATATTAATCAATTATGGAAACTGTTTTATTTTAACTGCACTAAAAGCTTGTCAGTCCTAAAATATCTTTGTTCTTACCTAAATCAATGGACAGTGCAGTGAAGCTTGGCAAAAGCCTGTACATTGCTGATAATAACTTTTGCCAAAGTAAGGAATGAAAGTAGAACGAGATTCCTATGAGTACCTGCTGATAACTTTACAATGTTTATTTTTGCATGATAACTTTATGATGTTTATTTTTGTGTGATATTAAAAAAATATTGACAAACTTTGTCAGATTTTTTCTCATTTTTTTTTGCTAGAATTTCATTAAGATTGATTAGAGTAGTAAGAATAATAATGTATTGTAACCAATGTAGATTGATAACTTCCCCAATCTGCAATTATTTAATAAATGTAAGGCTAATTTTTTAGTGCTACAAGTAAAAAGAATGAAAGAAATCACATTATGTGTTAGAAAGCTAACTAACATGATCCCTGGACTACAATTTGCTTGTTAGATATCAGTGGCCTACATTCCAGGTGCTGCCTGCTCCACCAAGTTTGAGGTAGATTTCCTGATACACTGAATGTAGACGAATGGTGGTTGGTTTTCATTTTTAATTAAATGCTGCACAAAACCAATCTTTCTCTGTAATAAAATGTGTTTGTTAACAAGACACTTAGGTTGGTTGGCAAGCAACACACAATACATTCTAAACTTGGTGGATTATCTCTGAAATGACCTGCTCTCTTGTAGTGTTTTGTCATACCTTACTATGTGATGCACTTTAATCTGGGCCTGCAAAGTTCATCTTATGATTTAAGTAGAGGGATGCTGGAAGAGGTTTTCCTATATATATGTGTGTGTGTTCTGATAGTAGCATGTTAAATTAAAAATGCTGTGTGGAAAAACCTCTCCATGGAACCAGTTCCTGGTATCCAAAAGATTGGAGACCGCTGATTTAGAAGATATTTCATGTACACTTTTTATTGGGGCTGGTAATATTTTTTTAAGCTTAGCCTTTCCCACCAAAAATAATCAAAGAGTTTTTTTCCCCAGAGGTCTTTAGATTAATGCCAGAGAAATATTGCCCCCCACAGCAAAAAGAGAACTCGGTTTTATTCCACTTTTAAGATAGATACAATAATTTTATAAAGTTGTGTTGCCAGTACTATGATTTTTAATCTTAGTTTAAGTGTTTAAGAACAATAACAGCAACAACAGTTACTTATATACTGCTTCATAGTGCTTCACAGCACTCTATAAATGGTTTACAGATTGCACCCAACAATCTGGGTCTCCATTTTACCGGCCTCGGAAGAAAGGATGGCTGAGTCAACCTTGAGCTGGTCAGAATCAAACTTCTGGCAGTGAGCAGAGGCAGTCTGCAGAAATGGTTAGAATGCAATACTGCATTCTAACCATTGTGCCACTACAGGTCCCTAAACCATACTTTTCTGAGTTTATCCAATTGCTAAAGCCAAACCATCAAACTAAAGAAGCTATATTACACTTCAGTGTAATGTTGTCATCAGATTTTAGTGTGAATTTCCTAGAATGATTGTGAGTTAAATAAATGGAATATTTTATATCCTTTTGTGAATGCTTTAATCCATCCTAATTTATTTGTGGATTTACCCTTTCCACAGTGCATAATGCTCTAATGAATAGGGCCAAAGACTAGGAAATTACAATACTTAAAATTTAGCATAACTTGAAGCACATATTACAAAAAGCTGTTTTGTTTTTCCCAGAAGTAGAAACATAATTTCTGTAAACACTAGATGGCACCACACTATTATCTGGTGTGTGTGTGTGTGTGTGTGTGTGTATGTGTGTTTGACATTTCAAATGTTAAGACATACCAATTATTTGATATATACAAACATACTATACATATATGTACACAGAGCTATTGTTATATTTTATGTATCGATTATGGTAAATTATGAGCATGATTTTAAATTTGAGAAAGGGAGTTACTTTCCCATCTAGACCATCTCTGTATTCTACTGATGAGGAGCACTCCCATAATTTAATTTAATTGACAATTTTCACATAATTTAAAAAGGGTGATTTTATACTTAGTTGCAAATAAAAGGAAAGATTAAAGATACAAATCTATTACAGCTTTAAGTATAATGTGTTGTAGTCTTTAAGGCACCTCAAGATTTTAATTTTGTTGCCTGTAATTTACTATGGTCTGGTCTTTTCAGACTATTTCCTTTAAATCAAGTTGACTAAATTATGCCTAGCTATTAATGTAATACTAAATTATGCAACTAAAATTGTACATTCTAACACTCATTGATACTGCAATGTGAAACTTAAATACTTCATTTATAATTTCAAACATGCTAAACTATCAACTTTAGCATCAGACTTTGGTAGTCTTCTGGAATCTTTATTATAAAAGCTCACATTTGGCTACAGTTTGTTTCTTTTTCAAATTGCTGGATGATTCTTCTTGTGATTTCTTATACATTTATTGTGGTATCCCCTTTGGTAATTAATTTCAAAAGTATTTATACCAGTTTTTCCCAAATTGGTGCTCTCGAAATGTGTTGAATCATTTCTCATAATCATTGGCTGCAATGGCGATTATGGAACTCCAACCTAATCTAAAGGTACCAGGTTAAAGAAGATTGAAATCAAGATTTACAGGGAGTTGGACTGTGTACAGATAATAATTTAAAACCAACAGGTTCAGTGAGGGTGTTGATTGTGCAAGTGCTTCAGAAAAAAATATTTTGGGACACACAGTGGCCTATATGAGACCTATCTCTTTGAAATGCTAAAGCAGATGCATCTTTTTTCAGGCTTGTGCAGCTGCTTTGGAAGTTGCTCCTGGCTGTGTCTGACCAGGCAGTCAGAAACACTTCCAGTGCTACTGCATGAGCTTGAAAAAAGATGTGTCTGCATGTATCAAAATATCTCTTTGTAAATATTTGCACAGTCCTAGAATTTAAAACAAACAAACAAACAGCTTGCTTGTGATAGGTGTTCTTATGGGCTTTGAATGTTGGTTTAAAATTCACAAATAACTTTCTTCCCTTTAGAAATAATTGTGCAAATAATGAAATGAAAATCCTAGAGTTGGGTTTATATTTTTAAAATTCCTGAACAGTATTTTTTTATTTTTACTTTTAACTTGATCTTTAATCCATCCCTTCAAATAATGTGCTAGAACTTATTCCTTTTCATTCATTCTCTCAATTTTTTCTTAGTATATCCCTTTTAATTATTAAGACATTAGCCAGTTCCTTTTGTACATCCAGTGTAACATTTTTATTCATGACATTCTTTTAGCCTGTCATTTTAAAATCCACTTTCAAAGTCAAACTTAATTCTCTTCCATAACATCATTTGGACAGAGTCTGTATACAGAGACAGATACTATTAAGATTACATTTTGGATCCATTGTTCAAAAAAATTACCCTAGTGTTGGCAATTGCAACCCCAATTGCTGTTGTTAATCAAGGGCTATCTGTACAAAGTATAGCATGTTTTTGAAGTTCTCTGAAGACATTCTGCAATTCTGTTTGATTTATACCAATGTTAATATTTATTATTCTAGCATTTTATATAATACCCAGTTTATTTAAATTGTAAATAAATTCATGTTGCATTTTATAGATTGTTTGTACCTTGTATGAGAGCACCAGTTTGGTATAGTGGTTAAGGCAGCAGACTAGAAACCAAGAGATTGTAAATTCTAATCCTACTTTAGGCACAAAGTCAGTTGGGTCAGTTTCACTGTCTTAGTCCTAGGAAGAAGGCAATGGCAAACCACTTGCCAAGAAGACTGCAGACACTAGCCCAGGCATGAACATTGTCTCAACATAATTGTTAGATATCAACATTGACACAATGTTATGTATTATATCTTATGTAAAGGTGATTAAAAATTAAAATTGCACAAGAGCTGCATAACCACACTGCACTGAAAGAACTATAGCGCTTGAAAATATTGCTGGGTAGTATTATAACATAAAACAGTTCCTCTGCTAGGAAGGGTGCAAATCTGGGCATATCTATGCAAAAAAAATTTTTGGAAAGGATAATAATTGTGATGAGCTTAATGGAATACAAAAGAAAAATTAAACTTTGGATTTTTTTCAGTAGGATTCTTTCCCATTATTTCTGATAAACCTCAGTAGTGCTTAATATCTGGAAATGGATAGCTTGATGTTTTGATGAAAATAATTTGTTTACAGCTTTTGATGATTTTTCATTAAATGTTTATTACATTATTTATTACATTAAAAGTTTCATACATTGTATCCTGTAAAAATATATAGATGAGCTGATGATTGTGTGTAACTATATTAAAAAGGGGAAGATTTTTCTCTTTTAGCATTTAGTTCCAGGTACTCCCTGGAGACAATTTTTTTTTTTTTGCCAACAATGTAGTAGTGGTTTGCCACTGACTTTTTCTAGAATGGGGTTTTTTTTTCTAGTCAAACTTGGATTTTTTTAATGATCTTCCATTCAAGCATTAACAAGATCTAATCTTTCTTAGATTTTGGTAGGCTAGCTCAGCCCCCTATTGTGTGCTATCAACTATCTACCATTTGTATTTTTAATACTTTGTAGTGATCATTAGTTGAAAAGTATCTCTAGTGGTATGATACATATAACTTTAAATTTCACCTGTTTGTTTGTTTTTTGCTACCAGGTGCTAGCAGTTTTTAAGAGACCTTTCCTATTTTCTAAGGTGTATGCAAAATAACAAGTTTCTTTTTCTCCCAAGGAACAAACATGCATCGCTGTGGTTTCCGTGGTTCTTCATATCTAGGAATTCCTTTCAATCCATCTAAGGTTAGTGAATAATGTATTTTAACTGGCACCTCAGAAGTTAAAATGGAAATGAGGTGTAAAATCTAAACATAGTGCTTTATGGGTAGAAACAATAAAGATTAAAGTAAAAATGGTATTATGTTTTCTGAAAATGTAGGGAAATATTTTTATTTACAGACATAATTAAATATAGTAGATTGGTATATATTAAATAATATACAGATATAGTATTTTTATAAAAGCTTTAAGCTTTTATAATGCAGATATTTCTTAAATGATGACCCATTCTTATCCAGTCTACCATAGAATGATTCAGACCATACCGTGGCTGTACAGAAATATGAATGTATTTCTCTAAAAGTCTGTGGAGATTCTGTTATCCAGGTCATGGTTATCCCAAAGGTGCTTTTTCAGGAGGCAACTGGACTTCCTCATTTTTTTCTTTTGAAGACATTTTGCTTTTCATCCAAGAAGCTTCTTCAATGTTTCACTTCACATCCAAGAAGCTTCTTGGATGAGAAGTGAAATATCTTCAAAAGAAAAAAACAAAAAGCACCTTTGGAATGTAGTTTTCTTTTTCTTTCTGATATGGGTAGTACATTTTAGGTATTTAGCAAGCACATCATATTTCAAAGAAATTCTGGGTTGTGCTTTCTCTGAAATCCACATTTTTAGTGTTTTTCTTTTTATTAGCTATTGGTCAACCTTTGATAAAGACAAACTGCAAGATGCAATTTGGGTGGGTTTTCAATTATATTAATTATTAAGAATCACCACAGTACTGTTTTGATCTTTACTGGGAATCATTGTTCGTTGATAAAATTTCTCAAATAGAAACTGATAGCATTTCCAAATAGAGAAATTCTCCCTTCCCCCTCCCACCAAGCGGTTTGGAAGTCATATAGAATACATGAGGATATGATATAATGCCCACGTCTCTCTGTTCTGTGAGCTTAGATGGAAGGTAGTCTGGATACACCTTTCTGAAAACCAATACAGGAGAGGAAACCCCTCCTCTTGATGGGTTCTTTGATAGTTAACTTTCCCAGTCTTCAGTTGTCCTAATTTATCACACGACTTAACAGACTTGCCAACTGTACAATAATCTTTTTCAGTTTCTGAAGCTTTTGAAATAGAAGTGTTCCATTTTCACTATAATTCTTTATTACATTTGCTGTTTTTGTTTTAAACAAGTTTTATTCAATTTTTCACATAAAAACAAAAGCTCTTTTTAGTGGACAACATATTTCCGGATCATCACTTTTACATACAAATATGACAATAATTATACATTCATATAAGCATACTTAATTCTATTATTACCTTTTCCATTCCAAATTTTCAAGAAAGAGAAAAACAAACAAATTAATCCAAATCTCTTATATTAATCTCAATCCAAACATTCTTTCATTTCATTTCAATTATTTCAAATATAATCCTTTAATATTTTTAAGAGTAAAAATAACAATATCTGTTTGCCTAATAAAAAAAAGGTTACCAATGTCTCTCCTTCCTTTTAATAGTCTGTATTAGCTTATTAATTTTAATAGTTCTTTAATCTGCATATTTTCTTTTCATCATACATTCTTTCTATCAATTCTAAATTAATACAGGTTTTAACACAAGAGAAAAAGAAACAAACTTAGGTTTCCCCCCTTTTACTGCTTTGAGTGTGACATCTCAGTGGTTAAAATATACCTTTATTCCCTCATCTTAATTCCCAAGAAACCTTTATTTTTAAGTAGTTACAATAATAATCATTACATCTTTTCATTTGGATTCTGCAATGTTTCCCCCCCCCCCCTTAATTTTATTTCTAATTTCAAAAAGGTAAAAGGGAAAAATTGACTATTTAATTCCTGGTTACCTCATTTTTAAACAACTTCACATTCATTTCAATTATTACAATTTCGTCAATAAACCTTAACTTTTCTTTTAAAGATAAAAATAAAAATGTATATTCATCTAATAAGAGTTATCAGTATCTATCCCTCCTTTAATAATCTATATTACCCTATTTTCTAAGTATTTTTTAATTGCAAATATATTCTTGTTACCCCTTGTCACCCTGCAGAATTCCCTTTTTAATTCATCAACCATTATCTTTTTAAAAAAATTTCTTTTCATCATTTTACTATTTCCGCGTTTCTTTATTTCCTGCACCTGTTTCTTACTGCCTCTCCTCCCCCTCTTTTTCCCATATCTTTTCTCATTCCAGTTTATATCCCTCTTTCTTGTTATCTTCCTTACCCCTTTTCTGCTGTACCTTCCTGCCTCTCCTGATTTCACAGGTATTCCCCTTTTTGATTATCTTCTTAAATCTCAACTTTTTTAGCCTTCCTTCTTTCCCCTCATCTTTGTAGTGTTCTTTGTGTTAAATGTCTATTTAAGATGTCTTCCCCTTGAGTCAACTCCTCCTCCTCTGAAGTTCTTTCTTTTTGTTCAATCGCCATTTTCATTTCTTCTAACACAGAACAAAGTGATTCGCCTCTTTCCTGCAGTAATTCTCTCATATTTTTAAGTTCCATTTTTAATTCCCAAAGAGATATCATCATTACACACTCTTATATATTATAATCGTTAAAGTCCACAAAAAACACGTTTACTTTCCTTCTTTCTTCTTCAAGTTTTCTAAAGTTCTCAATTGTTCCAACCCAGGGTCTATACCAAAAATATCAATCAATCCCACAGTCAGTCTTTCCTTGCTTCTTTCTTTATTCTGGTTCAGCTTTCACTTTCTAAAATTCTTACTTTGTTTCAATATTTCTTTAACATTATATCGATACAAGTTCATACAGAAACAGGATGATTTCCCTTTTGTTTGAGTTTAAGTTTTTATCCAGAAGATGGCACTCTCCTTTATACAAAGTCTTCACCTTTTCCCCCTATTTTATTATTTAGGGTTTTTCGAACCTCAATATTCCAGAGCAATCCAGTCTCCAATTTGTAAATTTTATTATTATCGTTTTTTGACAATCTTAAGTCCAGCTTTATTTTATGCCTATTTGTAGCCAAAATATTTTAATCCAATTCAATTAAGTCTTTAATTCCGGCTTCTTCCTTTCCCAGTTCGAAGCCCTGCTTAGCTGTCAAAATTATTATTATTATTTTTTTCTCTCCCTTTGTATTTTCGCCGCTCACTTTTCTTTTAAGAGTTCGATGTTACCTTAATCCTGGGGTACTTTTTGTTTAGTTGTTTCGCCCAATTGTCCCGGCTCAGATGTTATCTACCTCTTTCTTCACTCCTGCACAAATCTTAGTCCAGCTGAGTCCTCTTCGGGGTGGCCATTTTGGACCACCACTTCAGTCTTCAGGGGGGAAAAGACCAAGCCTGGGGGGGAGATGCGGCTCCCCTCAACCTGGCTGGCAGCTTCCCCTTACTTCACCACCCCTCCAAGCCAGCTTCAGCCCCTAATCGCAATGATCAGGGCTCTCCAACGAAAGAGCATGGACCATAGCTGCAGACAGTCGCGATCTACAGTCTGTCAGCGAGGAGGGCTCAACCCAGAAACCCCATTACATTTGCTTTTTGATTGCTGTCCTCCCAGTTTGAATAGAGCCATGTCATGGTTCATCCTAATAATAATTCATTTATGAATAATTTAATAAAAGATCCTAGAATGAATGTTGTTGGTACCATGTTTATAACCTTCTTTTTGAAAAGTGAAGTTTCTGCTCATTTAACTTCTTACTAGGAACATTTCCTGAAATAGTAAATATAGTATTTTTCTAGTGTTGATATATTACCGGTATTTTTTATCAAATGCTATACTGTTAAAGATCTGTACTGCAGAGATAAGTTGAGATTAAAAACAGTAGCCAATTGACAAAAAGACTTTGCAAAAACTAATTGGTATCAATAAATCTATGTAGCCTTAAAATAGCTTCTTCCTATGCTCACACAGTTGCTGATATGTGTGGATCATGTAGAGGTGGACATTTATATATAGCTTTTCAAGCAGTATTCCTGACTAGATCCCTCCTGAATTAGATCCCTCCTAAATTACAATAAAAAGCTCAGGGCAATTCTCTGTAAAATAAATGCTTAGTTTTATGTAATTATAATTTTGTTTGGAAAACAAACTTGTATTTCTTCTTGTTTCAGGGGCCTGGTATTTCTCATCCATATGATAGTGGGCACATAGCAATGACTTACACTGGTCTTTGCTGCTTAATTATTCTTGGCGATGACTTAAGCCGAGTAAATAAAGAAGCCTGCTTGGCAGGACTCAGAGCTCTACAACTGGAAGATGGGAGGTATAGTAAAATATATTTAGAAAAGAAAAAAAAATGTCAAAAATCATGCACACTACTATGATATAGCAATTGGTCAAGCTAAATCTGGATTGGGCAGCTTATATGGTATCTTCCTGTTTCATGCCTTTACTGCTATCTTTTCAGAGAAGGTAGCTACAGACCATGGCCTTCCAGTTAGAATAGTCATTATTAGCCCCTCCCTCATTTTACACAGCACAGCTGAGGAACAGGAGAAACCTATGCTCTTGCCTTTAAATGATAAAATTGGCAGAGTGTTTCAGGGCCTTCCTTACTTAATGATAATCAAGTAGCTGGTGAATGACAAATTGGACATACTCAATCTAGGCTAACAAAAATTGCATTTACAGAAATAGAATATAAAATGATGAGTCAAGAAACTGAAATACTCTCTTGCTATTGTAAATGGTAATTGAGCTCTTTAGAGTCATATGTCTTCCTTTATACAGTACTCCTATATCAACTTGCACATGAACACTGTAAAAATAAGGATGTGAAAGCAAAAGCAAAAAAGTCATGTAAGCATGCATACTAAAAAAAAATAAAAGTGTAGCTTTGGATCTCTAAATGGGTGCTTGAATTATTGTATTTCCATAATAGGAAATATTCTCTATTTTCTTAAAGTGTATTAAGTAAAATTATTTGCTTAAATGAATTTATAATTGAACTTGACTGAAGGAAAAATTCATGATAGATAAGATATTGATGTGTGATGTTATTAGCAAACCTGATCATTTGCCTTGGAAACAAAAATACATAGTTAAATAATGTAATAACTATTACATAACTGAAATGTTTTTTCTAGTTTTTGTGCAGTCCTTGAAGGAAGTGAAAATGACATGAGATTTATATACTGTGCTGCTTGTATATGCTACATGCTCAATAGTTGGTCAGGGATGGATACAAAGAAAGCCATTGACTATATTAGAAGAAGTATGGTAAGTTTTGCCAAATGTCACTTGATTAAAATGTTTTTTTGTATCCTATCCTTAGAAAGCCATTATACTGCTTCTCATGAGCATCCCTGATTTATTGAGATAATGTCCTTTTCCGAACTTTGCTGACAAATTATACAAATTATATCATAGAGATAATATTTAGCTATATCTTGAGTTGAATGAGTAGTCATTAGTTTAATCATAAATAATAAAGATAGCAATTGCTACACAACACTCCACGCTTAATTGTTGATAAGAAAGACCAAAAAGTCTGAATGTTAAAATATCTGAAGATAGCAAAATAAAAAAGAAAAGGAGAAAATCACAAAATATAATACCTGCAAATAGAAGTATAATGATTGTAGCAAAAGAAAGCAAAGATACTACCAATAGTAAAAAGTGCCCTGGGTACAAATCCAAAACACCTGGAGCACTACTTGAATACCATTGGCATTGACAAAATCACCATTAGTCAATTGCAAAAGGCAGCTTACAATTTGCAACAATACTTTTAATATTAAACGTGTGCCTATCCCAGATTTTTGAGGAGTCAACAGGTGGACAAAAATGCCAAATCCAAGACCAAACATCTGGCTGACTTTGCAACCAAACAATGATAATATACATACCATTCAACAACTATATTTGGTGATATAGAATTCATAGGGATGCCAAAATGTGTATTCTTACAGTACTAGCTAGACTTCCTATCCTTTTTATCACAAACCTTAATAACTTCTGTTGGACAAACTAGCATATGATTTTTGGTGGCGTGATAGTTTTCCTTTTTAGCTTGTATTTTTATATTTTTCTTGTTTCAGATGAAAAATGTTTTTACAAAAAAAGATGATGTTAAAAAATAGCATCTGATATACTGAAATGGTTTATAAATTCAGAGATTTAAAATCTGGTTTGGGCAGTGCATTTTACATTCCTTCCATAGATATAAAATGTACTATTGTGTACTATGGTACAAATGGTGATGTTTAGCTTTTGTAGAAATTGAGGTTGTAATATTTTTAAATGTCTGGTTTACAAAATAATGAATACCAAGACTGTCAGCTCAAATTTAAGCTAATGCATACCATTTAAGTGTAATTACAGTGATAAATTCTCCTAATATAGTGAAAATAGGAATGTTTTGTTTACTTCAGTATAACTGCATTAGATGTAAAAATCTAGGTTAATTTTTAATTTAAAAATCAGAGTGTTGCCTGAAGTTATAGTTGTCTAGTCTACACTTAATATAATTATCTTAAATCATTATTAAGAAACAAAGAATTCCAGAATGAACAAAATACACAATTTCCTGTTGTAAGCTTCTAAAGTGAAGTGGTGATGAATGTGCAAAATTCTGATTTACATAAGCATAAATTTCTTTGTCCTCTTTATCTGATTACTGCAAATGTTCAATTTCTATGAAAGTCTGGAACTTTCAAGAGTTGAAATTGTATGATCCCAAGCATGTCAACTTGTCATTTCTCAGGCATGCCCTATGATGTTTTTCTTTTTATTTCTATTCAGTTATTTCTGATTCTCAGAGACTGTCTGGACCATGTGTATCAAACTTGGTGTCACATTGCTGTCACGTGACGTTTCACAGTGTTTTTCCCCTTCACGGACCTGGGTGGGCCTGGCCTGTGCGTGACACATCCAGCCGTGGGCTGCCAGTTTGACACCTGTGGTCTAGACAGTTCCCTGCAGTTTTCTTGGCAAGATTTTTCAGAAGTGATTTGCCTCGTTCCTAGAACTGAGAGACAGTGACTGGCCCAAAGTCACCCAGCTGTTTTTTTTTTTTTTGTCTAATGTGGGATTTGAAACTCTTATCTCCCAATTTCTACCTGATACCTTAACCACTCCATCAGACTGGCTGCTTTTAGAGAAGCTCAATAGTCCTTGGATTGTAATAATGCCACAAATGTTCAGTCTTATACCCACATCATTGTAATTAATCTCTCTAGATGTTTCAGTCTGCACTCAGGAGCTTTCACGGAAGGACAGGACTCTGATACATAAGTAAGATTTATTGCAGATACAAAATAGCTATAATAATGAAGATACAGAGTCTACAAAAATCTCACTGTATATGTGTCCCTTCAAGTTTAAATTATTTTTCTTCTGTTTCCTGGCCTTTTGTTGTAATAAATTGTATGCAATATTTTTCTGAGATTGGGCTATTGATAGCATTGGTGCTACATTTACTTAATGATTCGGTCCTAGGCTTCTTGCTTCTCAAGTTGCCAACTCTAGCTTTCTCATTAATTCCTTTACGAAAAGAGATAATGTATTCTTCACAGAGTGCTTATTTGCTTATTTTTATTCTGATCTGATGTGGGGATAACTTGGAATCACTAAAATATTACTAGACTGAGCCCAGAGAATGAGAAAATTGTACATTTGACTTAGTACTTGGAAAATGCAGTATGCTTCAGAATAATGATATTGAACAACAAATCTGATAGGATCTCTCTGTTTTTTCTTAATTAAGATTAAGACATAGGATAAAGGAGTCAGCATTTTAACTGATAGGCAGAAATAAAGGGTTGACATTATTTACTTCAATGTAATATAAATTCTTATTAAATGAAGATATTGAGCTTAATTTGAATTCATTTAAATATTTGTCTTTCCAAGCTCTTTTTGAATCTCAATTTGGAATTTAAGATTTATACAGTATAAAAAGGTATAAGGAAAAACATACACTCTGTGTGTGTGTGTGTGTGTGTGTGTGTGTGTGTGTGTGTGTATCATCTATCTATCTATCTATCTATCTATCTATCTATCTATCTATCTATCTATCTATCT